AACGCCTTCACAGAGTCGCTTTCTCTGGAAGCGAAAACAAAGGTGCGCAAGTAAAACTAGTAAAAAAAAAAAATAGTTAAAAAGTGCGTTCTCTCGAGTCCCGGCAGTAGGCCCTTCACATCTTTTTATTTCCCCCCTCGACTCGCCCGGCCCGGGCCGCGCCGCCGTCGGCGCACCCTCCAACAGCGAAAGGGAGTTGGTCATCTGGAAGTGAGAGTCCTCTCCAGCCTCCGCGGTCTCTGCCACACCGTCGCTGCGGAATCAATTTTGGCCCGTCGGTCTCGGGGTGGATGACGGCAATCTCGGAAAGACCCACACGGAAATGCTTGTGAAAGCGAATTAGGCTGGCCGAGGGGAGCAAGGGGAAAGAAAGAAAAAGCTTTTCATTTACAAAGTTTTATAGTTTTAATGGGTATAGTTTTGGGAAAAAATCTACGGCAGGAATTACTGGATAGAATTTCTTACTTTCTCACACCGAAAACAGAAGTGTGCAACTGGTATAATTCAACTATATAGTGTGGTGCACAGTCTTAAGTGGTGGACTAAAAATTTGAATTCTTAAAAATCTCGTACAGTAAATTTGAACACCTAAAAGTGTCCTTGGCCATACATAAAGTTGAACACTTTTAATTGTGCATCGTATATTGTTGATCACGGTTGATCACTTTGCATATGCACGCCAGTTGCATGACCATGCATATTATCTTTTTTTATCAGTGTGGGTTCCAAGTTGATCAAATTTTTGAACATAGATTCGAAATTTTAAGCAGTCACGTCTTTATGTGTGAAAATCGATAGTCGACGGAGGCCGGAAGGCTGCTAGTTGCTCGGGACGTCGTCGTTGAGCGTTGAGCTGAATCGTTTCTCTCGCTCCTGCTACGCGGAGGGCGCGCAGGCGCAGCATAGGCAGACCCGGCCGACACGGGTGCGGTCGCACTGCCTACCTCCCAGGCGGCAGGTCCAGCGGGGCCCCGCGCCTCGCGCCTCGCCCGACCCACCCCGCTCTGCCCCCGCCTGCTCAGCCCGCCCCGCCCGTATACTGCGCCGCCGGGGTAAATTGACCGTGTGTAACGCCTGCTGCTTTGGACCGGTCCCCTACTCACTAAAAAAAACTAAATAAAGTTATTCCAGTTTGTGTGGCGGAATGCCGAAATCCACAAAATCTCCTAGAGAAGGCTCCCTTTTTGGTGACGCGCGAAACCCGTCGGTAATGCCGACGGTCTAACAGGCACCGCGGCTGAAGCAGTTCTGCATGCGTTTGGCGATGGGGATCTACTATGGAGTCATGCATTTTTCATCATATTGAATTATGCTAATAGTGATTCCACCGCGCCATCAGCCCACGCCCCCTCTGCCTCACTCCCCCTTTTTTAAGACTATCGCTTCCTCTCGTTTCCTCCCTCACCTCTCCCTGCACCGCTCGCCTTGTTTCGAAACCGATTCGAGGCGACTATCGCAATCGTCAAGTAAATACACCCTTCTATTCCCCCCTTCCCCCTCTCTGCTCCCCCCTCCCCTCTTTCCTTGTCGGGGCTGTAGCGTGCCGGAAAGCTTGAGAGAGCGCCAGGTGGACGACGATGTCGCCCTACCAATTGTGCTAACGCGACGAAAAATTACTGTCTCCTTAAATCTTACGGTCGTTGAAACACACGCGCACGCGCGCACACACACACACACACATGCAGGCGCAAGAGGGGAATAGGGAGGAGGGGAGTGAGCGCACCTGGTACCCTTCCACAGTCCACAGGTCCTTACTCGAACTGGCCTTCTCCTTCTTTCTGCCCCCCCCCTCCCCCTCTTTCTCTTTTTCTCTCTCGCACTCACTACCTTCTCCCTATCTTTCTCCATTTACCGGGTGGGCCATTGCAGGCGCCAAGATTGATGACTTGGGAACAGGCTACCATAATCACGCATACTCTTCTTTTCCTTCCCCCTCTTAAAAAAAAGAAGAACAAACAGGACCTTTTTGGCATCTATCGGTTTCTTTTTGTCACTAAGACCTCGACAAATATAGAGGTATGCCCCATGCAAACACATTAAGTCCGTGCCAAAATGTCACACACAAAAGAGTTTGTGAACCATCATTCGCAGAAAAAGTGAGCACCATTTGATAAAGCAAGAAGTGACGCAGGTGCGCACGGGAGTGTTGGCAGAGGAACGCCTGCTGCTGACCGCGTATACTTTTTCATACGCGGCCCGTCCGCCCTGGGCGTCGTCCCCTCTGCCCCGTCGAACGTTGCGGTTGGCCGATCCGATAACAGTAGCGCGTGTGGGGTGGGGCACGGCGTGGCGGGGTGTGGTGGGGCGTGGTGGGGCCGGGCTGCTCCGCGTGTAACGCCCTGCAGTATGGCGCCGCGACGCCCACCGCGACGCCCAGTAAATCACCTGGGCGCAGCGCGACGCCCGCCCGCCGACCCGAGCCTGGGTTGCCGCGCCCCGCCCCACCACGCCACGCCACACCACGCCTCGTAGACTCACGATTTATGAGTCACATGAATTGTGGCAGAAGAGAGCGGCGAGGCGCTCGTACCGAGCTCGCGTACCGCACGAGCAGGCGACGCTTAAACTACGAGCGCATTAGTGCAACAGCCGCCCCTCGGCGTGCGAGCAAACGATCAACGAGCCTCAGGACACTAAAATTTTAAAAACAACTAAAATATTTTACACTTTTTGGTTGTAGAAGAAAAGAATTATGTAGTCATTTTGGTAGCTTTGATAAAATAAAAAGGGCTTACTAGGGCGAAAACAGCAAATAGAACAATAAGGAGAGACGGGGAAAAGGAAGGGGGGGGGGGGGGGGTGGAGAGAGAGATAGCATATAGCGTCAATGGGCTCCAGGAGAGGGACGTCACCTCGCGGCGGCAGCTTTGAGACGCCAAGAGACTTGGCGATGACGGCAAACACCTTTTACTTGACCTAATTCCTGCTCCCGCGAGGAGCGTGCGTTGAGGGGGTTGAGGGAGAGCGCGAGCAGAAGTGGCGCCGTCAAAGGCGACGGAAGGGGCCTTCTTATTGGCCGTCTCAGGGTGGTGGCACGCACACTCCTCGCTGCCTTTCTCTCTCTTTCCATCTTCTTTTCATCTCTCACTTACTAACGACTTCTCTAGAGCCTATATATACGAAAACTACCCCCAGGCGGTACACACGGAAAGACCGGTGTCGCAAGACCGGGGGTGAGTGTAAATGCGAGAAGGTGAGACGTTCCCGAGTTCATTCATCCGGTCTTTACTTTTTTACCCATTCATCCTTAGGATTGGTGTTTAGTACTACTACTGGGTCGGGAAGGAGGTGGTTCTGGGAGAGCGTGGGGGTGGGGTGGGGGAGACGCGCGTCACCGGATAGGGGCACTAAGCGCTGCTCTGGCGCGCGCGTTTACACACACACACACACACACACAGACGCCGGTAGGGTCAAGGCGATCACTCCGCCAGATTAGCTGAGGTAACGAAATTAGCATCGTCAGGTATTCCTTGGAGGAAGGGAAGACGGCGGGCGGAGAGCGAGAGAAAAGGGGAGAGGGAACTTGGCTACTTGTAGTGTCGAAAGCGCAAGCGAGAGCGAGTCGATGAGTGAGCAGAGTGTCATGCATCACCTACCAAAATCTGACAACAACATTCTTAAAAACCACTTAAAATTAAGTGATGAAAGTTTCAGGCTGTTTTGTGTCTTTCGGCGGAATTTACTGACAAATTTCTTGCATTAAAACCGATTGAAACGAAAAAGTTGATGTGAAATCTGACTCAGTTTCTTACGAATGAAACATTTTCAGAACCAAATTTTGTACACAAAACTGACTTTAGAAAAATCTTCTTACTTTTTTTTTCTTTAAAAAAAAAATTGTGATAGCACTACCCGCTTGGTCTGCTTTCTAACAGCTCGAATTAATCAATTAATCACGACATTCCTTTTCTTGAACCCGAACCCGTGCTCTATGAGTTTAATCGTGTGAGTATGTATGTGTCCACAAGTGGCCCCGCCTTCGACCGCCGGCGCGCGTGCTGCGCCTCCTCGTGGGTGTGCCCAGTCACGCCCCGGGGGTGACAACAGTCACGGGCCGTCACGCGCTGCGTCGTCGTGCCGCCACGCCCTTTGCAGGACCAACGTCACGCCGAGCGCCGCTCTTCCCGCGCCGCGGCATTCTAAGGAGAATCCGAAAGACGTCACGTTCAGGGTGACCGGGGGGGGGGGGGGGGTGTTAGGAGGAGCACAACGACGATGTACGCAGGGAGACGAAGAGCAGAGGAGAAGATAAAGCCGTAGGTTGAAGCGGGTCGCGAAAAACAAGGATAAAATAAAGGTTGTGTGCAGGACGGGAGCTCGTGGCGGTGGTGGCGACGGGGTGTGGGGGCCGTACGCGGAGCACTCTGTGGAAGAAGCGGGGAAGAAAAACTACGAGAAGAAGGGGAAAAGACTGTAGAATAGGGGTGTCGTGAGCGCGTATCTCCCCCGCCTTGTCCACCCCCACAGTTATGCTCACCACCACTATCCTGTGTGCGTGCGCGCGCGCGTGTGTGTGTAACCGTGTATGTGCCTTTTCTTCGTACCACGTTTCCTCCGTTGGCCGTGTGTGTATGTGTGTCTATGTGTGCAGCCTCCCCCTTGCCCCTCGCCTCCGGTCACCCCGCGCGGACGGCAGGGCGGCAGCCGTGCGCGCGTCTTCTGCTGGAAGGGAGGCTAATTTTCCGCTCGACACTCCACCACCCTCCCGAAATGTGTCCTCTACTCCCGTGTGTGCACAACACTAGGCGCCGGCGCTCACACACATGCACACTCACACACGCACACACAATCTCTCCTACACAGTAACACCAACACACAGGCGGGTGGTATTGGTGGGGGGGGGGGGATGAAAAGCAGGACCGAGTTGGGCTTTAGTTTTAGACCGGGGACGAAAAACTGCTAAATATCTCCCTTTTTCCAATCTGTCTTAAATTCGTCTACCCCTTTTACTCACTCTACAGGAGACCGGTTTCTATCACCTCTCCCTTGGAAGTGCTCACCTGCGGCATCTGAAACAGAGGAATAAGCAATGTTAAAGACAAACAGCAATATGGAGCGCTAGTGAACACAGGAAAGAGCCACTACCTCCCTGAGCATGGAACGAAAATTAAATTATCATGAGCACACATCTTCACTTCAACTTCAACGAGCTGAAGAAGTAGAAACAGGAGCCGACACCGACAAAAGGGGGGACGGGGGTATATGCAGTCACCAGCCCTTGGCCCGATCTATAACAGCAATTGCTAATTTAGGCAACAATTACGCACGCGCACCAGTATACGGTGGAAGAAAAACCTTGCATTCAAAGGAAATGAAAAAAACAACAACAACATAATAGTTCTAAAACGAAATAACGCGTGCCGCGAGTGACGAGTGCCCCCTTGGCCGCCTTTTCACACAGAGGGACCGCGCCCTTCACTCCCTCGCCTCTCGCTCTTCACTAATCGCGGCGACATCTTCGCTTCCGGTGCTCGCCCCGCCGATACGCACCCCGCCCCACCGCACCCCGCCCCGTCGCACCCCACCGCCCCCGCCACCACACCCTCGCCCACAACGCAGGGTTCAGGACCAGACCGACTCAAAAAAGAAGCTGACCTGGTCTTTTCCTCACCCTCCTCCCCTTCTCTCTCTCTCCCTTTCTCTCTCTCTCTCCACTGGCGAACAGAAACGCCGTGCCTCAGTCTGATAAGCGGACTGATAGCAAAGGTGGCGGCAATGGGAGACAATAACACACATTAGCAGACGGGCCTCCGCGCCGCCGCCGCCGCGGACCAGTCCGTGGGAGGCAGGAGGGAGAGGGAGGGAGAGAGAGAGGAGGGAGGGAGGGAGGAGACACCAAACCTGAGTGGAGTTCTCTGTCATCTGATAACGGCTCGGCTACCGTAGGAGCAGCAGCCCGGTAGGGTCGTTTGCCCATTCCAGAAATAAGTGATTGGAAATCGCGGCGCGCGGCGCGGCTTGGCGATGGCGGTGTGTGCGCGAGGTTTAATTTTAATGGCCGCTGTTTATGGACCGGACGTCACCCCCCTCCCCCTCCCTCCTCTTCCTCTCTCTCCTCTTGTGCTCTCCCGCTCTCCCAGTCAGCGTCAGGGTGGCCGCCTCGTGCGCTCTTCTCTACTGGGAGGGCGGCAGCGCGGCAGCAGCAGCGCGGCGGCGGCGGGGAAGTCCATTTCGGTTTATGCTTTTGGGGCTGCTTCTCGTTGAGGAAATCGACGTCGCAATCAGCTGAAGGCCCGCGATATAGAAAACCGGCATCACGTCGACGACCCTTCGATACATGCCTATAGAATTGTCTTGTTAGCAAGTCACTGTCCATAGCCACGAAACTCGTATATACTCAATATTGCCGCCATTCCAGATGATTTAAAAAAATAAATATTGTAGTTCTTTTGTTGTTTTTTCTTTTAACAAATTTGGAGAAATTTCATGAAAGGTTTAATCGATTTTGTCCTTAATTTTCGTTTGTGAAAAATGTCTACATCTAAATGATTATCGACAGTAGCCGCACCATCGTCACCCGCGCGTCACCAGCAACCACCGTCATCCCGCCATCACCGTCACGCGCTGAGGGTGCGGCGGGCGCCCCCTTATCAGACGTTTAACGAGGCGAGGGGGGGTGGTAATCAATTAGCGGTCCTCACGCCAGACTCGCACGCCACGGGCCCCGCGGCGCTGCTCGTGATTGATTTGGAACGCCCCGCAGCCCGGTCGCGCTAACCTACACCTTGACAAACTTTAAAATCTCGGTCTCTTGACCCGTGTCTTTTGAAAATGTAATGAGCAAACAATGGGAAAAAACAAATACCAAATATACCTCCTACAGATATTATGTCTTGCTTCCAAACGTATCATGATGTGAGGCTGACACTGCTGGGCAACAGTACTTTAGTCCACACCGCCCATTCCCGCCCCACCCTGCTTTGCCCCATACACCCCCAAGAGAGGCATCCCAGTGGTAGTGTTGTGAGCGTAATCCTGTTTGCTGGGCGCTGACCCACCGGGCACGGAAGGGCAACAACACACGCACGCGACAAATTTCGACTACAAATTTCAGAGAAATGAAACCACTCAACCTCACTTTGGGGGTGGATGAAGAAATGCTATTAACGTGGGGTAATTTCTGTGTCGGGAAGTATGGTTTAACTTTGTCAGTGCACAAGGCGCGCCCGAGGGGTGACGGATCAGCGTCCCGCCCCGGATTGGCTGCGGCTGCCGTGCGGGTGGGCGGCGTCGTGGCGTGGCGCGGCGGGGCAGAGGTGCCAAAAGTCCCACCCCGCCCGGGCCTAAGCCCTTCGGAGCCGGCCCGGCGGCCCGACGCGCCCCCCACCACCGCCAGGACCAGGGGCGGGGCGTAGCGAAAATAAATGTGAAAGGGTGACAGAGATGGGGAGGGGGGGGAGTTGCCGTGCGATCGAATACTAATCGCAGTAATGCAAAAATGACATGAATGAAGTAACGTGCCGTCACGTCGCCAGGCAATGTAGGTAGAATATATTAGGGAACGGAGAGAGAGAGAGAGAGAGAGAGAGAGAGAGAGAGAGAGAGAGAGAGAGAGAAACCACACGAAGGGCGAGAGTGGTATGGTGGTGGTGATGGTGCGGTGGGGGAATGGAGAGAGGGAAGAATGGTTAGAGGTCACGACTAATTGTGAAGTCATGTAGCCCGTCACTCATTGGCAGGCCTCATCGCCCGCCGCCCCCACGCACACACACAACCAAATATGGATATAGAGATAAAAACACCAACATTTAAAAATAAAAGTCTGTGTGCTTGTTCTTTTTCCATACTATACGTAAAGGCTGCAGTTTTTATTATTTTTCCGAGTGTAGACGTTAATTACTGGCGCGGCTGATCGGCGGCCTGTCCATTACCCGGGCCGCCCCGTGCGTGTCCGCTATCTCCCGCGCCGATACCGACGGCCCCCGCGAGACGTCGTGTGTCCTGCCCAGACATGTTCATCCCTCCCCCCCAAAAATATAGAAAAAAATTAAAATATAAACCTGCCCAGCTTTAAATTCCATATGGATTTCTAGTATGGAAAATAACTGTCTGGATTTTGTTGAATTTCCATATGGATTACATTCCAGATGTAATTTGGAACACTTTCCAGAGTGGAATTTTGTACTATGGATATTTCCTGCTGTGGAAAATTTTCCATATGTAACACAAATCCATATGGATAGTGAAATCCATCTGGATTGTGAAACCAGCATGGAGAAGCATCAATCACCAAGCTGCTTGTTTACGTGAAAGGACACCGTACCCATGTAAACTTTCGCTAAAAACGCCAAATATGCGGCCAGATTTTCGATTCGACAACTTGTTACGAAGATACAGCCGAGTTGAGATTCGCGATTTTTACTTTCCTATCAAAGAGTGAACATTTCGACATATTATTCGCAGTGCTTCAGTCAGAATTTCTGTGTTACACTTAGTTAAAAAGTTATGATTTAATTTGCAAATCCATAGTGGAAAAAATGCAGCCGACCATAATGGAAAATATTCCATAATGGAAAATCAGTAATCCATAGTGGAAAATCACAAATCCACAGTGGAAAATATTCCAGATCAAGTTCCATAGTGGATTTTCACAAATCCATACTGGAAAATTATTCCATACCAAATTCCATTGTGGAAACGAGATTCCATATGGAAAAACCAGATCCATCTGGAAATAACAGGAATTCCATATGGAATTTAAAGCTGGGTGGGTTTTTACAATTTTGCAAATCTATTGATGTAGCTAAAAATGACACATTCATTGTAGGAAAATACTTGCAATACCGCTCTTTGGTACTATATAAAGAGGTGCCATCCAGCCTGATCGAACTGGCCGGACCCTAGCGGCACTGGCGGAGCTTCGGCGGGGAAGTGGTGGCCGAGCACGCGGCCAATGGGCTCAAGCCGCCCCGCCCCGCCTCCGCACTGCCCCGCACCGTCCGGCGAGAAGGTGTTCTGGCATGAGCTTTGATAGTCGGGATTGCGCGACCCCCTGTGGGGCTTCGTACCTTGACCATACTGGGAAGGGGGTGGAGGAGGGACGAGGAGAAGCCCCCGAGGACGCGGTGGGCATGTGGGGGCTGCAAGCGGGGGATGCAAATGGGAATTTTAATTTTCTGCAGCAAAATATTTTTGGAAAAAGTTTCAAAATAATTTTCTTGTATCTTAATTTTTTCCCGAAAAGTTTTTTTTTAGTTTTCTGGGAATATTTCAATTTGTTGCGATTTTGTTTTGGAAAAGTTTCGGGTTTTGAAATCACTCGCGAGCAGGCAAAATCACGCCATGGGACACGGGCCTAAAAGTAAATTCGCCCCACCCCGCTGACCCCGTGTGAGCCCCCCTGCCCCTTGCTCCCCCGCTGCGTCGCGCTGCGCCCGCGGCGTGGCCCATCGCGCGGTGAAGTGGCTGAAGCGCTGGCTTTGCACTGCGCGAGGCCCTTCCTGCCCATTGTACGCCACTTGTCGGTAACGACTCGCTTCCACCAGGGGTGCGCCCGCCGCGCCGCGAGGGGGGGGACCACATTTGGGGCCCCTCACATAGCGGGCAAAACACGAAAACAAAAATACAACAAAACAAAACGGTGGACACTTGTGCTAAACAAAGACATTGTCACCATTTAATCAATTATATGCGGCCAATTCTTCTCTGAAAATTATTTCCTACAATATTTAATTTGGTAACAAAATTATCCGGTTCCCGAGTGAACGCAAACCGTTTAGGCCCCTCTCTCTGTCTTTCGTTCGCCCCTAACGAGCTGTTGCGTCTATCCATAACTCATCGTCGCCGGTCGGGGTGCTGGACAGGTAGCAGACCGACGTCTTACTCTCTAACTGAATGACCCCCGCGGCCCGAACACTAAATTGAATCAACCAAGGGCCCTCCTCTCAAACGCTAAGGTATAATATGGTGTTGCTGGAGCTGACTGAACGGTTTTGGTTGTGTTTTGCATTCCAATTATAATATGTGGAGGAGAGGAGGCTGCTGCTGTGAATTAAAACCGAATTTCTTG